GTGCTCCCACCGCGTGGCCGGGCGCCGTCCAATGCCGCAGTGAAAAGTGACGTTAGTCGCCAGCCTCCTCCGAACGAGTGGTTACGCCCCGTGCAGGGTCAGACTCGCGGTTCCGCGCCGCGAGCACCTAGTTGTGTTTACGCGGCCAGCGCGGAACGCTGCCAGGTCGAGCGAGCACGTTGCCGCGTGCGTGTCCCGTTCCTTCGGAGCCGATCGAAAAACGTCGCTGCTCGCTCGGCGGCTCGGTGGCTTCTTATCTGCACGACGAATACTTAACGAGTTCGCGTATGAACGACATCGTGCTCGCCGCATGTACTTACCACGCCGCGTTACGTGACGTTCGCACGTACGATCACGAATGCCAGTATAAGGTTCAGTCCGGTTAAGAGCGTGGAAGCTTGCTGCGGAGAGCGGATTCGGAGTGTGTGAGATTACCGATCACCGCGCGGCGGCAGTCACCGGCCGCGTCTTACGTATCTCTCATAATACGCATTCGTGCGGCTCCTGCGGATTTTCCGCGTTTGTCAACCGCGGTCCACGAAATCGTTCACGAAGAACCTCACGAGCGCGAGATAGCCGTTCTATCAACAGAACTGCTCTCTGCGATCTGACGCAGTCCGCGGGAAGTTGCGGAGTTTGGATGTGTTATCGCGAAACATAAACATTCGATAGTAGTGGTATTTATATCAGTCGTAGATTCGGCGCTCGTGTTGCCGCATCGCCGCTCGATTATACATGTGTGACACTTCTGACGCGTGAATAAGCGCGGAATCTCTTTTTTTTTTCTTCGTTCGAACGCACACGACGTACGTAATAACGCATCATCGCAGCTGTTTTTTTTCTCTCTCTCCCGCGAGATAGAATCTTCCATCCTCGGCCACTTCATCCCATGAGCGAGACACCAGCGTACGACCAGTAGTTCCTGCCGGAGGAAAGTGCGCGCGGTCACGTTGCGCCGCGAGGAGAGGATCGCCAGCAGTGTTGATTTTGTTAGCCGAGACGCGGCCGAGCATGTTAGCTTCCATTAGCTGGCCGTAATTAATATGCGCTAGCGCGAGAGGTGAAGCCGAGGTACATCTCGATGACTATTGTGAAAGAGAGAAAGGAACATCTGGCATAGCGGAGGTGCTAAACGGCTCCGCCGCGGGACTCTTCGAGCGCGGAGCTCCTCCACGATCTCGTCCACGCGTCGTCCACCACCGCGGACTTCGTCAAGTTACGAAGATCCCCGCGGACTTGTAGACTTTGCGAGGAAGCGGCTTGTGTGTCGCGACGACGCGACATTTTTTTTTTTTTGCCTTCCGAATGAATGCTCGTCTGATGTTAAACGAGAATCGGTGCGACGTGAGCGCAATTGTTTCAACGCTGTAAGAACGAGGAAGATTGAATCGAGATTCTTCGCAAAACCGTCAAGCTCCTCGATGAGCTTGAATGGCGACGATGGGAGTTATCGTATATATTCCAAGTAGGTAATTTCGCTTCGCGGTGCATTTAATTCTTTATGACGCTCGTCTCTCACACCTTCCTATTATTTCATTTCATTTGAAGATTCATCAGCCGTGGAGTTATCTCTTTTTTTCTCGCTACGTCTTTATAAATCTTCCACAGTCGGAAAGATATTGGGAAATACCAATTGTACGATAAGGAGACTTGGAAAAAAAAAAGAGATGATATCGACGACAATGCTACTTTCGAAGAGTATTTCGCGTATTTCTCTACAACGCTCTTATCTCTGTCCCCGCGACGTAACGTTCACTCAATATCCGGCCGGTAGAAATAAAATGTGAAAATGCAGTGTCACTCGAATTTCCATGCCGCGATCGGTGTCGCATGTTTATCGACCCTGACTCGCGCGACCAGGAAATCAGAAAAATACGGATAGCGTCTCTCAATCGGTGCCTTGTGAAAAAGATAGCCGTATATATGATATACAATACGTATTTACATTGCCCGATCATACGATCTGCGTCATCGGTGCGATACGCCGACCTATATGACAGCTCGATTGACTCGCACGCACCGCTAATGAAATCATCTTGGGAATAATGAAATTAGAATGAGGGTCTAATGAATTTAGTCGAATAAAAACAAGCAGTTACGTAACGCGACAACGAATCAAATGCGCGGCTGATCCTTGAGAAATAACGCTTGACGACGTGATAACAGTATCGTCTGTGTCATGCTGAGTCATGATAATTCGGTACCTGATGTATACACATTCGCATTAGTTATAAATTGATTAAAAATAATATGAAACACTTTTATAATTTGAGAAATAAGTAATTAACAAAATTTGTGAAGGACAATAGAATAATAGAATAAAATGTATAAACATTTTTAATTATAAATTAAGGATAAAATTATCTTTTCTAAAGAACATAATTTTAATGAAAGTATTTTTAAACAGTATAAAATACATGTATTAAAAAGTATAAATTTTTCAATTAAATAAAATACACAAATATATACGCAACATTAATAACTGTAGTACTATATTTATAACGGAATGGAAATCTGAATGTAAAATAAAATAAAATAAAATTTTGAAAAAATAAAACAGAAGAAAAAATAAAATTATAATAAAGCCGATAAAATCTACAATTGCGCGGGAATATAATTCTAGGAAGCTCGCTCTTATCATCTTATTTACAAAAGACGGAAATGAGAGTAATATCTTTTACTAACATCTATCGTTTGAAAGCATGATAAGGACGATCTATCGTAATATTTGGTAATCAGTGACAGATAGCATTTCGTAACACTCATGCTACAAAGTTTATTGCTACAAAGTTTATTAATTATTGGATCGATTAGGCCGACATATAGATATGTCTTAAATTATTTTAATGTAATCCAATATGAAAAAGAAAAGATGTTTAAATTTCCTGATATATTTTATCATAATATATCTCGCGATTAAGATATGAAATTGCATGCGCTTGTATTTTTACTTGTTTATTTACATTTTTTTTTTAAACAGATATTTATTCTCAAATAGAGAATAAATCTAGGATTAATCATGCAATATGCAGAGGAGCAAGTTAAAAGATGCGGCGCATTTCCTTTCTCGCAACTAGTTGATAATAACGACTTAAAACCTGGAACTAGTCACGTACAGTTCGATGGTACTCGGTCACGCTGGCTGCTTCTGAGAACGTTGTATCAGCCGCATTGTACGTACTCTAGACGCGTATTCTGTATCGTTTTAAGAAGGCGCACGTGTAGGTACTAATACGGAAATGAAGCATTTCTCGGATGTGACCTCGTCTTTGTTACAAGCGTAATTAATAGCGCACGATATAAAAATTATGCGCTATTAATATAAACAAGTGGCAATTAAGTGCGAATATTTTCCGACATAAAAAAATTTTTTATACCCTAATGCTAATTGACGATGACTGTGAAAATATTTAATTTATGCATAATCGTACTGTGCGGACGATAATAGCGAATAGCACATCGAACTGAACTGAATTGTAAAAAAAGCTTAGCTTGTTTATACGAAGAAAATAAGATAAAGTTAGAGTGGCTATTCATAATTATCAGTTTTACGTTTATGAAAACAGTATCTCTAGCCGCGGTAAATATGGTGCAGTTTAATAGAAATAAAACTTGGTAAATGAAGATTATTAAAATATTTTTTATTTGACATGTGAAAGTTATATTAGAACAGTTTTTAATTATTGAGAAATTATATACATATATATCTCCCCTCGTAAAAAAGTACTACTATAGTGCATTGATAACACTACTATATGCTATATGCTATACCAGCAATGCCACTACTACATTTCAGTAGTGTTTTTACTGCACTAGTAGTTCTTTTTTACTAGGGTCTTTTTAATCGATTTTAGCTTTAGTTGAAAATAAGCGAAACTGAACTTTGTATACATATCGATCGATATCTACTTACAGAAATAATAGAACTTCATTTATCTATATATAATGAGATAAATAAATTGTCTGTTTCAAAATAACTGTTCATAGGTCAGTGAAGAGCTTGCAGTAACTTTATTTCTTGCAACTAGTGCAACATTGTTTACAATAATGATAATCTGCTGATAACGGGATTATGTGCCAATGTATCTTCCCTATATGTTTGCACGCCTTTTTCTTGTCAGTTTTATCTCGCACAATCGAATGTGGACTTTAAAATCCGATTGATATTAATAGGCGTGTTTGATCAATGATATATTCTATATTTTCCATTATCTTGAGTCATCCCTTAAGTATCACGTAAAATCTTTTTAAATACACATATTCTAATTATATAAATATATATATTCTAATAATAAATTTATATATATTTTATTTAAAATTTGTTTTCATATAAAAGTAATGAAATTGGTATAAATGGAAACTGTATTCAAATTACAAAATGCATGAGTCATCACATTACAAAATAATTTCTTTTAATCAATAGTCGGACTAATGTGATAAATCTCACGGTTTTTTTTTCTTATTCTTAACCGAAGAGTATTTCGCAGATAGTACTGGTAGTCGTAAAACTTGCGCATGTTGTAAATAGTCGTTCGTGCAAAAACCGGTTGTAGTAAATGTCATGTTTGCGAAGAAGTGTTTGCTATCGAAAGGCCCGAATACCGATGTATCAGAAATTGCATTCGTTCGTCTGTAATATGCTTTTTGTAGTCACGTTAAACTTGGCGCAAACACGATGTTTGCGAGAGAACGTTACGTCCCCGCGAAGAATTTTCACGCGAAATATAGACGATGGCCTACTTCGGTGTGCATATGCTTTTAGGAATGTAGACACAAAGCTACGTTTACAAAGATAAGAAATGATTGTATCAGGTGAAAGAATTTAAAGACCTGAATGCTCTGCATCTCGAAAGCTCTATGTTGACTGTGACTAACGTAAACAACGTTACCGAAATAAATGGTTGAAACATGCTTCCAATTGCGTTTCTTCACATTCTATGTACAAAATAATTACACACGATAAAAATTCTCTAATTTATTACATTTCCATTGTGTTTCAGGCATGTACACCATGCGCATGTTGGACAATGGTAGCAACAATGCATCCGGACCTACCGGTGCTGCGCCTTTATCGAGTGTCCAGACGACTGGCGGCACAACTTCGACGGCTACGGGGGTTACGACTTTACCCGGTGTAGCTGACGAAAGGATGGATGCTTCGAGCGATAGTGCTGTCAGTAGTATGGGCAGCGAACGCGTACCATCTTTGTCGGACGGCGAATGGATGGAAACTGGATCCAATTCCAGCCATACTCAGGCCGACTCAGGCCATTACACCATGGATTACGCGAGGTAATTAATATCATAAATGCGTGATAAGAATTAGAAGAAAATGACGTTTCATTTCTTCTTTGATCGCGAATAATCATGAGATGTAAAATATGAGATAAAATATCATGTTCAATTAAAGACAATAATTTGTTTCTTCAAGTCATAGAATGTTGGTTTTGTCTTCAAGAATTCACGATTGTAAACGAGAAAGATTTAAGTGTAGTACACCTTGCAACGTTACGCGAGGTAATTAATATCGTAAATGCGTGATAAGAATTAGAAGTAAGAAAACGACGTCTCATTTCTTCTTTGATTAATCGCGAATAATCGTGACGAGATGTAAAATATGAGAGAAAATATGATGTTTAATTAAAGCATTAAAGAAAATAATTTGTTTCTTCAAGTCATAGAATGTTGGTTTTGTTTTCAAGAATTCACGATTGTAAACGAGAAAGATTTAATGTGTAGTACACCTTGCAACATGTGTAGTGCACCTTTATCAATGATCTTCTGATTTTATTTACAGCAAATATCGTATGCCATACGACTGCAGCTACTCGGTGTCCGCGAGAAATGCCGGCTCGCCGAGATGTCAGACGGAACGAGCGGTGCCACCAGTCGCACAGAAGAAACATCAAATGTTCGCCAAGCGATATTTTCAGGAACAGAGCACTTGTTAGTATTTAGTAGTAACCTTATATGATGGCAGTTTTGCAAGTCGCTATATAAGACGGTGTAACAGAAGATATTTTAATGGTTAAACAACTTTCAAACTAGGCTCACCTTTAGGGGCTACCGCACATCCAACGACTCCAATGAAATATGACTATGATACGCATACAGTTGGCGCGGGTGCACCGGGAAATACGTATTCTGGACCAATCGAGGGTGCGGCCGGGCCGCAACCAGAAATTAAATATAGTTGTAGCGTGGATTTCAGCCGTCATCAATCTGGTAAGAAAAAAATTTACGTATATAAATTTGTTTATTACATTAGAAATCTCATGAACGAATGAACAATTTCGTGCAAGTAAAAAAATCTGATTTTTTTTTTAATATTTTTAGGACGATCTGTAATAGAACATGTTCAAATTTGTTTATTACATTAGAAATCTCATGAATGAATGAACAATTTCGTGTAAATAAAAAAATCTGATTTTTTTTATCTTTTTAGGACGATCTGTAATAGAACATGTTCATCATAATCACACTTATCATTTACCCGCTGAGAGTTCAGGATCTCTACAACGTCCCATTTCCCGTGACAAGAAAGGTAACTATCTTTTTCATTATTTTTGATTATTCCAATTTTCTGAGATTATCAACATTAAATATTTATCTATATATAAAACAAATTTCAGTCCGAAAAAGCGAAGCAGAGGAACATCTAACGAGAGATGAGAAGAGAGCAAGAGCATTGAGTGTACCGATTGCAGTCAGTGACATCATCAACCTTCCCATGGATGAGTTTAACGAACGTCTCAGTAAATATGATCTCAGTGAGGCCCAACTATCTTTAATACGCGATATTAGAAGACGGGGCAAAAACAAGGTTGCCGCACAGAATTGCCGCAAACGCAAATTGGATCAAATCATAAGTCTAGCTGATGAAGTGAAAGAGATGCGAGATCGCAAGCTGAGACTTGTTCGCGAGCGCGAGTTTATGCTCATCGAGAGACAGCGAGTGAAAGACAAATTTAGCCAGCTTTACCGTCATGTTTTTCAGGTCAGTATTTATATATAACATTCTCGTTTCTTTTTTTTTGCAATTAATTTAATTTTTGAAATACGGTTTAAATGTAATTTAAATCGTTATTTCAAAAATTAAATTAATTGCAAAAAAAAAAGAAAATAAATTACATTTAAACCGTAAATAATTTACTTTGTTATCTCCAAACTAAAATACTGTTAAAAACAACAAAAAAAAGAAGCTATAACATTTAATAATTTATATTTCAGTCTTTACGGGATCCGGATGGTAATCAGTATCATCCATACGAATACAGTCTTCAACAGTCTGCAGACGGGAACGTTTTATTAGTTCCCAGAACTCAAACGAATCCGCATCAGTCACGACAGTCTTCGATGGAGCCGAAGACCAAGCCCGATCCTGAGCACAAGGAATGAACTGCTGAAGGGTCGTATACTAATGTGATTGATTATTGAAAAACTTTTGTTTTTCTTGGGCAGCGCGTCCAAAAGCGTAATGAAAGCAAACACGGTGCTGGGCAGCGAGTATCGTACGCATTATTAGATTTATTGCGTATAAAGAGTAGCGTTCACGATCGTAGACTTGACATACCTCGCGCACTGTGTCCAAATAAACAACGAAAATCGTCGAGGATACCTAATTTACAAATCGCGATTTCCACGCGATTTTTGGCAGATGACTTTTTAACATATTTGAAGATTTTAGTAGGAAGAAAGATAGGATTTAATGATCCTTAATGGTGGTTTTTGTGTGCATGGGTGATGCTACAGTTTTCAGTTATTTTGATTACCCGTGTTAATACATTTTCACCTCCAAAAATCATAACTTCGTGCATTTTTTCTTTTCATTTTCGTAATCAAAGATTTTGACATTACAGAAAGGAGTGCATCGGGTATCGTTGTATTGTTTGTTTGTACATAATGTATCTTGTCTGTTGTGACTGTCTTTAATAAGACCAATAGAAATAAAACCGAAAGCTTCATAAATTTCCTATGCTTTATTTAAGCTACATCAATAGAGGATCGTAAAATATGTTTCAAGAGTTTATACTGGCCTTATAGTGACACATAATATTACTTGTGAAAAAATAATGGAATGTGTTATGTAGTAAGCGAGTTTTCTCTGTGATTGCCTAAACAAATCACGATGTCTATAGAGTTAAAAAAAAGCGTTACAACTATTAATATACGTAAATAGTAAGAAAAACGTAGTAAGATGGTTATCATATTGTGGAATCACGCACGAGAACTGTTGTGTCACCATAACTGAAGCAACTCTAAAAATTAACCTCTTATTCCAATTACTATTCTTCCTGCTTTAAGCGTAAAATATGCTTGTTATCTTCGTAATATACGTAAACGTGTAACTAATACACGTGCAGTGATACATTATACATTCAAAAAGCTCATTTTTTTACATTCACAAAGCAGATTTTATCGCGTTTCAATATTATTATTGTTTCTATGAATTTAGCTATGATTACGATATGTATAAATTAAATTATATACTTCACATATAGATGCACGAGACGATTGCGTTAAACAGATCTATCCAGTGATTTTTACGATTATTACCTATCCAGTTGATTGAGTGCGTGATTATTAGTTGTATACTTAATTGCCAAAATTTAGTGACACACTCTCATGAACTGTCGCAAGCAAAATGCTACGACAATTAAGTACATCATACGCGTGTGACAATGCTAGTAAAACAAATATTAATCGCACGCGTATATATTATTAAATAAACTTTGTTGTGTTATGGACTTAGAAAATACACATGATTTGAAACGCTTACGGTTCCAGAAGCGGTAGCGTCATGGATATATAATGCAAAATTGTAATTGCATTTAATTGAGGACAAAGTAGGGGCAAAGCGATAAAAGGCAAATGATTGAGACACATAAGTGGGATACAGCAAACTTGCAGTAACTAATCTCCGAACCATTTTGTGTTCCATATAGGAAGCCGCTTGAACAGATCCGATAAAAAGTCTATGTACAATCAAATATAAATATATATAATTATATATAAAATGTGTACTGTATATATGCTTTTTTTTGTCTAATTTCTGTTCACATATACATACAAAATAAGAAAAAGTATTGAAAATTAATTAGAAGGTTAATTTTCGCATTATTTTTTTTTTTAATAAAAAGTGAAGTATGAAAAACTGATAAAAAATAATCTATATCTAGGTAATCATATATAATAATGTGTATAATATTGTGTAATGTAATCACTTCTACTTTTTTTAAAAGATACAAAAATTATTTTTCTAATTACTTTTCTCAGTCTTCTTGTTTTTCTTTACATATAGAAAACCAGAGATTATATAAGAGAAAGAAAACACATATGAACACATATTTTCTATATAATTATATATATTTATATTTGATAAAATATTGACTTTTTTTATCGGGGCGAGGGGAGGGAAGAGAATACCTTAAATTTCACTCCATTCAAATCACAAACGATACACATTGTAATGTATGTTACAAATAATATAGTGAATAATACAAGTATGTGAATAAACACTTACTGCGACGTGCTGTAATGCTACAATATATTAAGAATAGCATTCATTGAAATACGAACAAACATAATGAAAACGCATATTTTTATAAAATAAAGAAATGAGAAATGTTCAGGTATTTCACATTTGCCTTTTTATGTATATATTAATGTAGCTAGTATAATTTTCTATAAATATTATATATAAAAATATATATATATATATGAAATAAATGTATGTATTTATGTATATGTACGTGTATATATAAATACATATACACAAAGAGTAAAATGATAAAATATATGTTATAATGTTAAAAAACGAACGAAAATGCAGTTTATGTCGGTAATTATTAATAATCAGCTCCTTATTAACATTTACATACGCAATTGTATTCATACTATTGGGTGTAGGATGCCTTTTACGTATTGTACTTAGCGAGCGGAGATCTCGGCAAACCATTGTAAAAGATAATAATAATATTAATTTATAAGAACTCTGTTCGTCTATTGTACAAATAATTTGGATTCGCGCAAACTTGCAAATCCATCTACTTGCAATGAAGATCTCCTTCTGTCATTAAATTTCTATATTGTATAAATAAAGCTGAATAAAAATCTCTGGGGAAAGTATCGTATCTGGTTTGTATTTATCTAATTAATCAGTATCTATTTTACATGATTATCACCGCGTTAATAATATTACCGTGAAAATCTCGCGATAGTAGCTATAGTGACTTTGTTTTAAATCCAATTAACTCTTTCAATCAACTCTTTCGTTCGATTTTTTTGAAAGGAGAAATTTAATTATTTTTAAAAGCTCTTGGAGTTGTTGAAATGAATTGATTGGAAAAAGAATTACTGATACATAAAAATTTTAAATGACAAATCAATTATGGATACAGCGATATATTTAAATTCTAAGTAATTCGAGAAATTTCGGATCAATGTAAATAATTCTTTATATTTTCCAGTAATACCTAGTTATTACGATATTTTTTTCTTAAATTTAAGCGATTCTCTTTAGACTAAAATTCATTAGACTTTAATGACTCGACTATAAAGATGTGATTTTTTTAAATTGTTTCTTAAAGCTGAGAAATTTATATCCACTTGAATATGAAAAGTTTAATTCAATCGGTGATTAATTCAACCAGTAAGATCGTTTAATTGCACGATACTTAATTTTTAATTGTATGTATAATTCGTTATGTATAATCTAATTTATCTTTGGATTCAGACAACAAAACATTAATAGTGGTCATATTAACAAAATTAATCGATAATTTGGCTTGGTTCGAAGCGTCCTTATTGTTGGTATTAATAATCCATTGTTTATCGATTCATTTCCGTTCCTTTCGGTTGCTTAGCAGGCGGTTAGGTGGGGAAAACTAGAAACGGCTATTTTCGAGCATTTTCGATATTTCGATTAACTTAATACTTATATTTGAGACAGTTGAGACGGCACTCGAGACTTGTTCAAAACATTGCTCGTGAAAAAATTTGAACACAGATACGCGAAAACATTGGATATTCTAGTTATACTTGTTACGAACATATCAATCATCGATAGGAAAATTCACTGTGTTCATTCGAGTTATTCGCAAAATCGCAAGTATTCGAATCTCGATATCTGCATTTGAGAGAGTTGCTAGGAAACCTCGCAACTCTCGCAAGTTCATTCGTTTATTGTAGTGTGCAAAATGACGTCTGACTCGTGGTTGAAGATTATTCAGAATGCTAGGAAAACTGCTGTGATTGAGGATGGTAAGTATAATTAAATGGCCTTATAATTTATGATTATTGTCGATTGAATTATGTGAGTTTAGGAGACGCGTGTTTCTAACCTAAATCTAACCTAAAAATGTTTGATCAATAGAATACGCATGTAACTTATATTTATACAAATTCGAATAGAATTATGTATAGGACGTAACATTATGTCAAAACGTTAAATTTAATAAACTTATAAGCTTATTATTAATTATGTAATATTTTTTCGAATTGATATCTTATTATACCTACTTAAATTTATGAATACATATGAATTTATCTTTCACAATATTTTTGATTACTCTTTTAATTAAAACAATTAAATTTTACATATTGTTTAATGTTTAATTAAATTGTACACACTGTTTAATGTTTTAATTAACGCAAGATGTTATTTGATTTTGTTATGTTTTATAGGACATAGGAAGGTTCATTTTTTACTGGAAGATGGAAAGGAAATGGTAGAAGAATATAATACAGATACAAATGTAGTAGTACGACGAGCGTGGAAAGAGAAAAATGGTTTTGGTATGAACGTTGGATGGGCAGTAGAAGTTGGAGAGCCTGAACGTAAACAGAAAGATATAGAAATATATGGAATAGAAGAGAGTTCAAATGCTGTATGTTATATTCTTTTTGTAAATAATAGAATATATAATTGGACAATAGGCTTGTTCTTTATAACTGTACCGGGATTCTCAAATGCTTAACGACGATTGTTGGTATCGTTGCGCAGCTTTCCTTATATATAAGCCATATAAAAAGGCTGCGTAACAATACCGACAATCGTCATTAAGCGTTTGAGAATCCTGATGAAACTGGCTGCAATAGTTCAGAGTTTATCTTTCTTCTTCCAATATAGAAAGAAAAGATAAACTATGAACTAGTGCAGCCAGTTCAGCTATAAAGAACAGGCCTAATATGTATATGCTAAAATTGTAATAGTTGTAATTGTACGTACAACAGATTTTCTTAATTAATCTTTTGTAGCCAATTATTACAAGAAGAATTACAAAAACGTCCCTGGAATGGAGAATCAGGAATTTGCCATATCCTGAAAATGTATATTCTGTCACTGCGGAACAGGATGGCACGATGACTGTACGTACCAGCAACAAAAAATATTTCAAAAATATAAAGATCCCGGATCTCGAGAGGATCGGATTAAAGTCGGAACAACAAAGGATATCATTTCGCCATCAGTACAATACCTTAATTATAACGGTATGAAAAACGCTTCGTTGTACATACTTGCTACGTATCTTTTTTTCGTCACAATTCTATTTCTTTTCATTTGTAGTATAAGAAGCCTCCTCAACTTATCGACGTGGAGAAAAAAGTACTAGCTGCAGTTTTACAACTGAAGACGGACTCTAAGGATGTGCAATGCCCAACCAGTTAATGAAATAAATTATTGTATTATTAAATTTCTTGATCTTAATCAAATATTTTTTTTAAATCTGTAATTATTATTTAAGTCAATTATGATTAAATAATATCATTTAGTACATAAAATTCTTTTATCAAGAAAATTTTGTGATTAAAGCCTCTATTTCTTTCAAATAGTTTGATGAGAGCTGTCTTACTAAAATTTTTAAATGTTTCTTATTCAATAATAATTACGAAAAACAGCTAAAAAAATAAAAGTATCTGGAAAGGAATAGTTGAAACTTTGCTTATTAAAGTTTCAATTACAGCCTTTAAACTTTCAAATAATGATTTTTTTTTAAATAGGAATCTGGAAATAAATTGCAGAGTAGCGTTTTTTTCCTAAATAAAATTATCTTATACAATGCATCTTTTATGAAACATTCTAAGTACAGCTCTTCTTTTTTTATATTATTTTATCATTAACCCTAGATATACACACTGGGGTCTCTGAGATCCCAGCGAAACATTCTCGATTTGGAATTTCTGAAATTGGAAGGGGAAGGGTTTGGAATTTTGACGTAAAAAAATTTTGGGATCTCAATAGGAGGACGTGTTGACGCGCGACAATTGTCGCTTAATAACCGAGCAGTGAACAGTTGAAGTGAGCGTGGGGGGCCCGGGACTGCTTGCAGTTTTGTTAAAAAATTAAAATATGGAGTCGCCAAATTTTTTTATTACTATTTCAAGTATGCCCTTTCCGAATTTTCAAGAATTTTTCAAATCGGTCTATGAACAAAAGAGATATGATTTTTTTTTTTAATGTGCTAAATCGAGAATTTTTCGAAAGTTTTTTGAACTTTCCTTTTTCTTTGAACCTGTATATCTTGGAACTCCTTAATCCTATTGACTTTTAAACATTGTGGACTTGTTCCTTGGTCGATTCTCTATCGATTGAAAAAAATTAATTGAAATATGTCCATTTTTATACTAGAGTTACAGTGATAAATATGGATGGGGTCCCCAGTGTGTATACCTAGGGTTAAAAGATATGTCGAAGTAGATTTTAATACGTGTGATTGTATGCGTCAAAATATAAACACGGCAAAGAGAGTCTCGTATCACGAGACGCGGTCGTGTCTCGGCGACAAAAGAATTACCCTTTCCCCTTCAATTTCTCGGAACTTCGTCGTTCGTAAACGCGGCACAAAACTCGGTCGAGTCGGTGGTGCCGCGCGTCGATATATCGATCGATCTTTCTCTGCGTCGTCGATTCCGCGGCTCGAGTGCGTCTACTGCTGGTACCGAGTGCGCGTGCTGTGCGGACGGCGGTATTGCGTTTCAGTGGATTTCGGTGTTATGCCGTTCCTTTCGCGGGAATATCTCTGAGTGAGCGGCAAACATGACGAATTCGGTGCCGGACAGGTAAGCGGCTTTCCGTCTGCTGCACGGCAAACTAACGCCGGGTTTCGCGAGATAGCTGAAAACGCTCGCGCAACGCGCTCCGCAAGTAGGAGTCGTGTCGCGGCTTAGGTTATGTCGCGCGGACCTTCGGTGTCCCGATACGCGTCCCCCCGCGACGTTAATAACGCGGGGATCCGTCGATCCGCGAGGCGAAGTGCGGTTTTCATCTGACACGCCAACCGGGGAACCGACAGCGGGACGTTCCGTTTGGTTTCCTGGGGAAGCGATCCGACGCTATTTTCGGAGACAGCTAACTTACCCACGGAGCGCGCTCGACAGTTTCCCGCCTTTTTTCGCGAGATGGGGTTAACGCGCCTGATCGTTGAAAATTCGAAATGCGAACCAGTTCGTTTTCGCGGCTTCGCGCGGTTATTAATCTTCGATCGGGTCTCGCGAACTCTTCTGATGCGTTACGTAATCATTATCGCGCGGGACGCTTGGTTTTCTTAGTGACGCACGTCTCGTAAAGCAGCCGATGTCGGGCGGAGTAAATGGATATGGAAAATTATGCGTTGTCATAAGATAGAAGCGTGTAATATTTGCAGTCGTAGGTGTCGATTCGTATTTGTAGGTTAAAACCGGGAGAACGCGATTGGAAAGGGGCAAAAACGAAATGACAAGAGATATCCCGACATTTTAAACGTGTCATTTCTTTTTTCGTTTAACCGCGTTCGACAATGCCAAAGTCGATGAGTATCGATGAATATATACAAAGTCTCATATCTAATTCGATTCTGCGTTCGAATTTATCTATTTTTTTCTTATTGCCAAATCGCCGCAAACGCAACGCTGTTTAAGTATTGTTAATTTTATAATTATAATCATCTTTACGTTTTTCAGATGGTTGGAGTACAAAGCTTTCGGCGATGTGATCAAGGGTACCAAGATCTTATCGTTCAAAGTTCCACTGAAGGACGTGAGTATCTGCGCAATTCATTACATCGTACTTTTTAACCCATCTATAACTTTCAAACAACGTGCGGGATTGTTTGAAACAAAATTGAAACAGTAGTAAAATTAATAATTTTTATTTGCATTTTTAACAATATAGTGTAAAAATATAATAGCATATGAAATATAAATTAAATTAAAAATTAGCAAAATATTGTATAAATAAGAAAAAAGGATATTTTTTAGATTAAAATAAAAATGATACAGAAGTTGATTAGAGCAAATAAAAAGAAAAATATAACGAGTATCGCAAATATCATGCATTTTTTAAAATATCTTTTCGGATCGTGAAATAGGAATGAAATCGATTAGAATAAATAAGTAAATAAGAAAGATGTAACAAGCACTATAGAAATATGTTTTATTTTTTATTTTCTGAGATCATTGATCCCCCACGTTGTCAATATAAAGATATCTATATGTATTTATATAATTTGATAAACCGTTACTTGTATAATCTACTAACTACTTGCTAGGAACGTTTATGTTCGACGTTTAAAGATAATAAAAAATGTTTCGGCTCTTCTCTGAAGAGGATTTATTCTAAAAAAAAAAGTTTTTAAAAGCGCATCGTTCTTGCGGAACGCAACCGCGGTCTGCTCGGAAACAGAACGCCCTTCTCCTCCGTTCTTCCACAGCCTCTCCCTCGTTCCTCGACTATCCTCTCTCTCTCTCTCTCTCTCTCTCTCTCTCTCTCTCTCTCCCGTACTTCTCCTCGCACTAAATCAAAGATTCTCTTCGCGGGAGTCGTGGCGGCCGCACGGCACGCAGATAAGATCGCGTCGGATTCTCGAAATGGACGACGCGGCAGGTACACGCGTCGTCGCTACGCCACGTGCGCGTCCGTGTATGCGTGCATGCCTGCGTGCAGGCGGACACGTATACGCATACACGCACGCAGGCAGGCACGCACGTACGCATGCACGGCTCGTGGGATCGTGGCACGGGTCTCCGTTAAATCGATGCGACCGGGGCGGGGAACCGGAGGAAACGGAGAGGGTGGAAGCGAGCGAATGAGCGAGAGAGAGAGAGAGAGAGCCGCGCGTCTGCTCTGAGGGAGTATAACGGGAGGGTGGGAAAGCAAAGTCGTGAGATCTCGTATCGGCCGCGGCCAAATTGTCATATTGTTGCGCGCGATGACCCACTCCGTATAGATATAAACAGGCTTGATGTATGCGCGCTCCTTCCGTTGTCGGTGCGCGCGCGGTGCACAGCCGGCTGATCCACGCCGCGCCGCCGATTCTCCTCCGAGAGTCTAAATCCTCCGCAATAGATAAAATGCTTCAATGCCGGCGGCTGCGCGCTTGTAGCGCAAGCTGGTTGACGTATGGCCGTTCACGCTGCGATTCATCGCTTCTCATTGAAATCCTTAGGATTTTCCGAGAATAGAATTTCTGTAAATGCGACAGACGGTTATTCAGAGTGTAATGATAGATTTCTTGATTCATCTGTCATAAGTGACGATATTATAATTGAATTCGGCGATAGATTCTATTTATTACTTTTTTCCCTAACATTTCTAACGTTTCTAACATTTATCCTTTAATTATATGCTTCTACTTTCTCTCTGTAAGATAGAAAAAAGATTGTAAAATATTTAGAGTGGAATTTCTGAACATAAAAATCATTAATTATTAAAGAAACGGAATAAGAACGAGAATGTAATAAAGTGTTAGATGACAGGTCATGGCTTTTGTGTAATTTAATATATGTAATTTATAATTAGAGATTATGTGACTGTCATTATGCCACTCTCTCTTGATTTATCTTGTTATCTTGTTTGCGAGTGTATATACATATACATAATATAAAAAGTGTACAAACCTCCACACATAGAGAAAATTTTAATTAATCGCAGCAATAGTTTTTTCTTATATATTAGAGATTAAAATAAATGCGCGCGTGCGAATTTCGTGGATGTTGACTAATCCTATAGGTTCGCTCGCCAAAAAAATATAATTCTCGTTTAAGCGAGAAAATGTCGGCGCGCCGCAGTATTTTTATTACCAAAATAATAAGTTGAGATCACACTGTCGCTTCCTGGTTATCGTCGCTAAGGGCCGCGCGCATACGCCACGTTGCATATGCTGATTATGGGCGGTGCGGCGCGTAGTCTCTCCTAATTGACGGCACAACGGTGCCCAGGTTTCACAGGACATAAAACACTTTTATATACCTTCGGTTCTGCGTCGAGATCTCATTAAAACACGTAACGATAGTCCGCCTAATTGACCGTGCTTGGGCTACGACGGCCGCACTTTTGATCGGCGTATAGGTACTCTCGTCGAATCTCTCTCCGCTTATAACATAATCTCTCTCGCGCCGTCACGATTCTCGTTATTCTCGTCAAAGATACGAGCGATTAGACGGGTCATTTTTTAAGACAATTATACTACATATTATAGTGCTAACGAGTCCGTATGTTAATCAATGTTTTTACAATTACTACACGGAGAGAATTTTTTTTTTAATTTGTCAGGGTAAATTTACCCTGCAAATCATGTTAATTGTGGGACAATATAGTATTTAACTGAGTCGACAAGGCACACAGGGGATA